AACCCATTGACACATCGTCGGGCGGGGCCACGGTGGCAGACGGCAGTATAGTGGTCTCCCGCTGGGAGTTGACTATCTCGTTTAGCCTTTCCTCGCTCAGCCCGAATGCAGCCGCCATCTCAGGCCCACTCATTGTCTGGAGAAGGGAATTGGCCCCGGCCAGGAACTGTGGCCTGTTGTTTCGGGCCGATGTGGTGAACCCAAAGAACTCAAATGGGCCCGTTCGGGAGGCGATCTGGCAGAAGGGGAAGTAACGGGGTATCCAAAAAACCTCCCCTTGGGCCACCTTGGCATTCATGGCCAAGCTCCCGTTGGGAAACACGATTTGAATCGTACCCGACCCGCTCAACACTATACCGTACTCGGTTGCTCGTGGGTTGATGTGGGGCGCCATCATCGATCCCTGCAAACGGGACCCATTGCCAAAATATTAAAGAAACGGCAAGTGCATGTATTGTAACTAGGCTAAATTTCATTTTTTATTAGTAATTGACCATTCTTCGAAAAAACATGTCCGCATCAATCCACTAAGTTGCCCACTTTAATCAAGACTGACTCATACAGTAGCCAACTCAAAATGTCAACCTAAAAATGACTCATACAATAGTATACTATGTTATTGTACGAATTTTGATTATGTTAGTTATTGTACGAATTTTGATTAAAATAACAACTCAGTATAGTGGACTGTTTTGCCATTGTACTCTTGAGAACCCCCTATATGATGAAAATGGCCGGGACCAATTTTGAAATTTTGCAATTGTAACTAGACTTTGTAATTTTGATGTAGCTCGAATGCAAATGATTTCACTAAACATAAATAGCATTGTCAAATATAAATGAGAATTTTTACCGCAGTAAGATTGACGAGATAAACGCCGAAGTCATCATACTTGAGGGGCTCATAATCCGATTCGTCCAATGCAATGCTCCACCCATAGTCATTCTTGAAGTCGGGCTTCCTGTCATATAAATTGTACGCGTCGGGCCCCTTTCCCGTGGCCCTATGCTTCTTCTCGTCTCCCTTCCTTTTATCCACCCTTCCAATCATGGATAACACGAGATTCTTGAAAGACCACATGAACGTCTGTTGCTCCTCATCATCCTCCACGAGATCTTGGGCCCGAACATGGATTATTTTTCTCATGTGTTTCAGTTTTTCGTGTTGCTCCATGTGCATGAATTTAGTCCACATGCTCGGCGAGTGGGTGTCTGAAAGGTACACGATCGGCCCATTTTTCTGCCTCGTGAGCATCTCCCCTAACTCTGCTGCCGACACCTATAAAATGACAATCACAAGGCTTTTTCTTCAATACCAACAAAATTATTTAAAAAAAATATATAAAAATTTTGACCAAAGTTTTTAGTTAATCAATCCACTCACATTGAACGCGGTGGACATTGTCAAGTGATCGAACCCAGAAAGGATGGACGCCGGATTAGTCCCGCCGGCTACGTAAAAAGACTGTAAAAATGTCCCAAAATATAGTTAACCCACAAGTCATAATTGACTAATTTTTGACAAAAGAAAAATAAAAAGAAAAATTATAGTGTGTGCCTGGAATGTGTGCCATCCTAAGCTGTCTGACGTGTCGATGCTGCAAATGACGTGGAGCCTCTGGCCTTCTCCAGTGTTGACCAAATAAAAAGCCGAGCCCGACTCGATTCGATATATATCTCCGATCCTCAGAGTCTTTTCCACTAGTTCATCTTTGTATATGTGTCCAACCTTTGCTTCCCCTGATGAGCACAAATTAATTTGATTTTACTTCTATAAAGAAAAAAAGAAAAAAATGCAATTAAATTAAATCAATATCCATAAATTAAATATAGGGAAATGCTATGGTCCGTTACGGACCTATGGACCTATGGTGTTTTAACCGTTAACCGTTAGATCATCTAACTTATACGAACTACATTTGTTTTCAATGGTTAAAACACCAAACGAGATGGTTCGGTACCAGGACCGTAACATTTCGCTTAAATACAATAGGCTATAATTTCTCATTACCGGTACGGATGAAGAGAATGAGGGTGGAGTCGAGGTACTGAGGGATGAAAAGGCTCCTCGGCTCCATGGTAATGAACCCTATGTGCATAGGCGGCGCAGCCCCCCACCCCAAGGCGGCCCTTCCGCCGCCGCGGCCGCCCCTGACCACCCTCATCTCCCCTGCATCCGTCCTCACCACCTGCTTCGACTCCTGCAGCAAAAACCACTCCCCGCCCTTGCGGCCCTCCCGCCCGCCGCCTTCCCCTTCCCCTTCCCACCTCTCCCTCTCGTCCTCCTTGTAGCCGGCGGCGGCGACGGCCGCCGCGGCGACCAGCACCACCAGTAGAGCCAATCTCATCCCCATTTTACTTGATCGCTATAGTTTGTGATCAGTCGTTATTTTGTGTGTGTGTACAGTGTGGGTATTTGAAGGGGTGTGATTGTTGGGGGTTTATGTAGAGAAGGGAAAGGGAATACGTGTAAGGCATGCATGAATTGTTGGCCTCGCTGGCGGTTTCTGGTTAAGACACTTTCGAGATCCTAATACTAAGTCCCTTGTGACGAGGTCGTCTTGTATTATATTTGTTTTCTTTATGTGTAGTATGTGTATTTTGTTTGAAATTAAACATCACCGGAGAGGCAACGGGTAGACCCGGCTTCGACCGCAGAGCCGGTCCTGAACATTAGTAGGCCCTGGGCTAAATACAGAAAAAAGTGCCCCAAGTGCTTTGTTTTCTCTAAAAAATAAAATGGTACATTTTAAAAATGGGGAATTTTTATTTATACTACATGATTTAGAAAAAATTATAATTTTACTAGGGGTCAAATTTTATTTGCAAGTTTACCAATTTCATGTTAATTAATTATACATATACACTATAACAGAATATTTTCAGTTACCATATTTAATGTAACCACCTCCTCAAATGATGAGATTTTCAGTTACGGGTATATTGCGTGTCAATTTCTTTCCATCCCAATTCCACGCAGTATATATTGCGTATATATTCAGTATATAAACTAATTAATATATCCGAAAAAACATGTATTATCTTCGTTTTGAAACTGGTTTATGTATATATGTAGTATATTTTCTGGGTTTTTTTCCGATCTGATGTTTATATATATATGTATATATATATTGGGGTTTATATAAATATACCTAACATTATACCGAACATATACATAACATATACTATTTTCTGGAATTATATATGTATACCGAACATATACTATTTTTTGAAAATATATATATATATATATATATATATATATATATATATATATACCGAACATATACCGAATATATACAAAACATATACTGAAAATAATTTCAGATCCATGCGTCGAGTTGTTCGTAATTCTCATGAATTTCATTCCAATTTCGATCTTCACCCGTCTGTTTATTGAACGACTCGTAGCCGTCGTCTTCTTCATACTTGGGCGTCGTTTCCTTTCATCCTCAGTGTGCATCTATACCGGCACCGCAACTGGGAGATTCACCGGTTATTGAAGGGATTTTGGTTTTCACCATAGAAATTGGTTCTAGGGTTTAATAAGAATGAAGTTGAGAAGAGGATGCATCTATCGTCAGATGATGGTGAATCGATCCTAGACAACTGGACTTCAGAACTCAACCGATCAAAAAATGAAAAAGAAGAAAAAATTTAGTTGGAGAGGAAGAGAAAAAATAAACGAAGAATTGTAGAAAAGAAGAAGAAGAAGAAGAGACTCAAGAGAGAGAGTGAAAGAGTGCGTGAGCGGGGAGATGAGAAAGTGTTCTGAGAGATGTGAATGTGTTTTTTTAATATTGGTAACTGCTCTCATTAACTAAATATTAATTGAAGATAATATATTTTATTGCCTAAACTAAAAGTCCGGTATGTTTGTAATTAAAATGACATGAAAATCTAAATTTGCTAAAGCTTTTTATCTGATAGTAAGCGTGTAAAAAAGTTGTTGGTTCATTGTTCCCTGAGTAATTTCCTCTTTAAAAATTACCAACAATGGTCCAATACATTTTCTAAAAACCATAATTTGTATAATATTTTATTACAACTTCACCACAAAAGCAGACAAATAAGATCTAATAGAAATTTCATTACGAGTACAAACATATAATGTCTCGAACCGCTTTTACCTTCTAAAAGATGATCACTAGTCCTTCCATAGAGAAATAATAATGCCTCCAGAACAATTTTAGATGCATCAAATAATCACCATGCCTAAAAAAATTAAATAATAATAATAATAACAAAAACCAAGAAGAAAAAATAGACACTGAATTTGCAGTAAATTCTAAATTATTATTTACTATGCTTTGAGCTAAACAACATCAAAAAATAAAAGAAAAATGCTACAAGTACATAATAAATATACATAACGATGTAAATAACACTCACATAGAGTAGAGTTCACTTGATTTTGGTGGGTCCCACGCACTCAAAATAAAAATCACCATCATTCTTAAGGTTTTTTTTATTATTTTTTTAATTGATAGATAATTATACAACCTTGACAATATAACATTAAAAACCTAAGCAAAATAGCAGTGACTCTTGGACCCATTTTCAACACATTCATTAAACAAACCTTCATTAAAAACATCCAGCGACTCTTGGACCTATTTTATAAACTGTAGTTTGTATCACGTTCAAATTTATCTTTAATAATTTATTTATTTTTAATGATTACATGAACTGCATGAGAAAAAATCCAAAAAAATTGAACAATATAGTTAAGTGACATTTTAAAGGCACTTGAATTACACATTCTTTATTTTCTAAAGTCTATATAGTTCAGCATCATCACAATTGAATAAGAAAACTTCAAATTCCCTTTTAAAGTTTAGTAGTTGGTTTAGTTATGGGTGTATTGACAAAAACATATTTTTGCCGTAATTTAAAACATATTTACAATTCTTTTTTTCAACATTTTAAATATTAAATAAATGAAGATACATATTGGTTATATAATATATGGGCTCGCTGCATGTGCCCAATCCCTCAATTTGGGCTTTGTTTTTATAATATTTTAAACATTAAATAAATACATATAACAACTATATATAATATATGGGTTGTTGGTGATTTGGTGCCCCTCCATCAATTTGGGCCCTGGGCCGTAGTCCATGTTGCCCTGGGCCAGGGCCGGCCCTGTTCGACCGGCCTGGATTTACGTCTTGGAACCGGATCCGTGATAAAATCGGGCCAATTCCGAACTTTATTTTTTCTGTTTTGACTCGCCAGTTCTCAATCGTCTCGGCAGGTTGTAGTTGTTTTGATTTTTTATAAAAAAAACTCGGCGGTTATTTTAGGTTGTAGTTGTTTTATTTTATAAATTTTTATTAAAAAAACCCGACGGGTCTTCGGGCCGATTCATTTGAACCGACCCTTAGATATGGCTGGCTCAGTTGTGGGCTTGGAATTTGAGGCCCTCCGACCTGGCGGACCGTGCTGGGCCTTGAACCGGCCCGACTGTTAGCTACTTCTAACTGGAACTAGTTATTACCAGTTACCACTACAACAACACAATGATTGATTGCTATTATCAGTTATCACTACAACAACAAACTAATTGCAATTTCAATAGTAATTTATTCTAATGAAATTTCAATTGCTATTTCAGTATACATTCCAATACAATTATTTTTGTTGGAATCTTTTCATTGGATTATGACGAAAATTTTAATAAAAATAATTTATTGGAATGGAGTTTCCATTAAAAGATCACGCCACATCAGATTAGAAAATCGCCGCATCATGCCAAGAATTTTTTTTAATCCAAGGTGCCGATAATAATGGACCAAAATTAATGAAATTGACAAATTATTGAATTCAGTTGCAAGTGGTCATTGACGGCGTAAATTTTTGGAATTTGACCAAATAATATGTCTAATTTTAATTTTAGCCATTTGAAATATATATATATATAATATATATTAATGTCACGTGATTATTTATTATAAATTATTACTATATATTTTCAGGTTTTATGAGAAAAATCTGCCCCTCAATCCTGATTCCTATCCGCTTGAGTCTTTTGATCCGACTGCAGAGAATAAACCCTAATTGCCCCAATTTATCAGATTCCTCGTATTGAAATTCAGATCCTCTCATCACATCACCTCGTTCATTTCGCAATTCCCCCAAATTCTCTCTTATAGGCAGCCAGCGAGAGAGAAACTCTATACTCAAAGCTTCTTGTATCCGACTGTAAGTTCTTCATTTCTTCTCTCTACGGCGTTTATTGTCTGTGCATATGTGTTTTTGCTGCTGTAGATATTGCATCATCAAATTTTGTTAGTTCGTATCTGTGGTTACGTACGTCTGTTGGTGACTTGATGTTAGCGTTTATGTTAAATCGTCGTCTGCGTTTCCAGATTTTTATGAGATATTGTTTATGTATGCGTATTTGCTGTTGTAGATTTTGCAAAATTCCGATTTTATAGCTCAGCTCTGTGTTTACGTAGCTCTGTTATTGTTAGTGTTACTGTTAGATCATTGATTGCGTTTCTAGATTGTATTAGCTTTGTCTCTTAAGCACAACAATTGTTTCTGTACGATGTATTATCACGGTAGAGCTATTGTCTTTGAGGTAAACTAATTAATTAATTGAATTTCATATATTTCAACACAAGTTACACATAAGTATTAATTAATTTTTCGAACAAATCGTGACACTGATAGATATTTATATTTTTTTATATGGATTTATTCTCAAAAAATTATTCACATTATTGGTTTAGGGGCTCTCTTGTGTCGGTTTTCTTTCACCTCTTTGTGATTTTGTAGATTTTATGTTTTATCATTGATTGAGTAATGGTTCTGTAAATGCGTTCTACTTATCAATAGAAAGTATGTTGATTTAGCTTCACTTATTTTGTTATCTAACTTTTGCTTAAGCATAATTTAAAGTTTACAGGGGTTGTTTTTTAATTTCTTTTATTAACTAACTTTTTTCGAACTATATTGAAATTTACAATTTTGAAGTTTTTGGCATGTTGGAGAGCTCCAAATTGTTCTACAAACTGTGGTGAGAACACTTTCAACATGAAAATGCATTATAATGAAATTTATCAACTTGTAACTTTATTTTTTATTTTATTAAAACATTTTATCTAATTTTGGATAGAATTTTTATTAGGAAGTTGTCATTACTAAAATGGTTTGGAAAGCGAACAATCATTTGTAAAAGCTTCACTAATTCAGCCAATGGCCACCAATTTGAGTTTTCCATATGAGTGTGATATTGAATGAATTTGTGTTTCTTTACTAAAAACAATTCCCATAAGAGTTTTTCATGGAGCTGTTCAGATTTGTTATCACTTTAATTAAGTAAATCAAAAGATTTTTGTAATTAACT